TCTCTCACCATCTCAGTCTGACAATATATATTACCATCCAACAAGTGTGTCTACCTTCAACCTACGATATCTCCATTTAAGAACCCCTTACGATAAATGGTGGCATTGGAGGGCCGGTAATTCTGACGATTACAGCGATGTCTGGAGATAAATTTTCGACCAGCAAGACGGCCATTTCGTCTCACCAGTAGGCCTAGCGTGGTTAACGCCAGCCAGCTACCTCAAGTCAGCTACTCGCCCAAGCTCCTACCAGCTTCTACATTATTCACTGGTCAGTCTCCTTGTATTAGTGTTTATCTGCTTATTTGCATCACTCCCGAAGGGTTGACCAGAGTTTGCAAAATAAGCCAGTTTCTAGTCTGTGGTGGGGGAGTCAGAACAACAGAGTCCCAGTCCAGCCTAGCCTACCCCATCCAATTATTTTGCCTGCCAAGCCAGCTTCCACCCCTGCTGTGCTCATCGTGTGAAGTTATCAAGCCATTCTGTGTGAAGGGTTATGATAAGCCAGCTAGTAACTAACCCAGGTGTCTTACCCCAGTACTCGAGCAAGCCACGTGAGTAGTCTTCATCGCTTGTGATTCAAGCTCTAAGCATTCAAAGTGCTCTTTTTCATCCTTGTGGTGTTGTAGTATTTCGTGGGTTTATTTTAAGCCAGCCGGCTTAGAATTATCTTCGCAGCAGTGTGGCTGTTCTCAGTGAGGCTTACGACGTTCAACCCATAAGCCCAGCCACTCACGATCACGTGTGTCGCACCATTGCCGGTCTCAGCCCTGTTAACCCACAAACCCAACTACAGTCAGCCATTACCCATTCACCTACTTCATCAGTGTTTTGGTGCACTGCTAAGGGTTGTAGCACCATATTTTAAAGACCACATAGGGGGTCAAGAGCTAGAGTGTGTTCATGCCATCTTTATAAAGCCTCCTGTGTGTTTGTCTTCGTCGATGTAAGCGCAATTCTACGATCACCTGTGCAGAGGACAGCAGCAAGACGATATAAACAATCCATCAATCTCATTCTTCAAGTGTTACAGCGATAATATTTTTTTTTTTAGAGACATTTGCGAGTGTTGAGACATTTTTTTTCTATGTTCCCAGTGATTTTTCTCTTAGTGACATTCAGTGACTCTTGATCAGACTCAGTGTTTATTATGTACTGATTGCATTAATTTCTTTTAATCTCCTTAATTCAGTGCTAATTTTCGTGCATTATCTTATGTCTGCTGTGTTGTGTATTTTTTTATACACTTGAAGTAAGTACTTAGTGTTTCCTTTGTTGTGTGTGCAACATATGAGCAGTATAGAACTTGTGTTTACACTTCAGAATCACCTAGTGTTCTCAGTATTCCAGTGAAGTATTTCAGTAATTTTTCACCTCATATTCTGCATCACAACTCAGTGTTGTCTGTTATTTTTTTTTTCTTCCCAGTATTTGTGTAATTTTTATTTTGTTCCCTGTGTGTTGAACATTCTTGTGTTCATATTCTTTTCATTCAGCCAGTGTCTAATTTGTCTTATTTCCACAGACAATAGTGTCATTATTTTGTGCAAGCAAGAAATCATTTTTTTACAAAATTTTTCACACATCAAGTTTCTTTGCAAGAAATCCCAGTATTGTGTTATATTGATGTGTTGTGTTCTGCATCACTGTAAGTGTTAAAACTTTTTTTGTTATGTGTTTTTAGCACCTATTATTTTTCATGTTTTATTGAACAAATTCACTCTTAGTGCAATTTTTAAGTTCTCCTTTTAAAGTAAATTGTTCTTTTGCTTGTTAAGTGTTGTTTAAGCTTCAGTTAAGAGTTAAAGTGTTCATTCCTTGATATATTTCTTTTCTTGTGTGTGTAATAATTTTTTTTATTATTGCACATTGACTCATTTTGCAATAATTCTTGTGCAAATATTGTGTTGCTATTAAAGTTTCCTTGCAGAAAATTTTATGAAGTACTTGTTGATTAGCAATTGTTTGATATATTGCTACAGTTTATTACAGTGCAGTTTCTTATGCTCTGTTCTGTGCATAGTATTTTATTCTGTCTGTGTCATTTTATTTTTATTTCAGTGAATTGTGTGTCTGTTTTAATTTTTGCACAAGTTTATTGAGTCCATTTTATCATTTTATTGTGTATTTCCTTGTTGCATTGAAAGTAAAGACAACTCACTGTGCCATCCTTTCAATTTAAAGTAAAAGTTGAGCAAATTAGATTTGAGCAAAGTACAAGTTCTCTTGATTTTCAGTGTTTGTTAAGTTGCATATTCTTCTTGTGTGAGTTCTTTACTTACTGTGTGACCTGTCAATTTTTAATTACTTATGCAGAATAGTTAAGCATTTTCTTCCATTTATTTTTTTTTTTGACTTATGCCCTTCAGTATTTTCACTGAGAAGATGTCCCAGTCACTTTTGAATATTCACTTAGTGCATCATGCCAAAGTCAATATGAATCAGTCCACAGTACCAATATTCCCTTACTGACTGAAAGACAATACCTAGCCCTTGAGCA